CAGGGATGGAGCATTCACAACTTCCCTGGGCAACCCATAGCAGTGCCTCACCACCCTTACAGTAAAGAACTTCTTCCTTATATCCAATCTAAACTTCCCCTGTTTAAGTTTTAACCCATTACCCCTTGTCCTATCACTACAGTTCCTAATGAGGAGTCCCTCCCATCTCCGTATCGAGCTAGGTGACAAGGCCAGGGGAGAGTCACACTGCAGCTGGCTTTACCAGATACCAAGTTGTGGGTGAGGGTTTGTACGTGTGCCTCAGCCGTGGCTCTCTGTGTGTTTCTTTGGGCACTGGTGCCAGCTGAATCAGTCCCAGGTCACTTTTCCTTCCCGCAGTGTTCCTGCAGTCCCACGGGTATGTGCAGCCTCTCAATGCACCATGTTTGGGAACTTACTAAGAACAGAAACGTCACTGAGTTCCTTGTTGCGGGGTGGTTCCCTTGGCACCCCCACCAAAGACAGGGAATGCTAAACAGCCCTCAGGTCTCCAGAGCTCCATTGCCCTTTGTCAGGTGCCTGCCAGTTCCTCCTTTCTGTGCAAAGCGAGGCCATGTGGGAGCACACACCTGGCTCTGGGTGGTGTGCAGGAGCACACGTGTCATAGTGATCATCACTCATGATCATTTAACTACCATGAGTAAGGTATAAAGCCATTTCCTTCTGTTCTTACCAGCAATAGCTGCTATCCAGGGCAGGCAAAGAGATTATATTGGAATTTTTCCTTGTCTTTTTTTCAGGGTCATTTTTCATTTTTGTTTTCTCAAAGTGCTTTTTTTTCCATAACCAGGATGATCTTCCCACCATTTTGAGGGTTAATTGCCAGCAGGCAAAGGCTGTTTACCTCTTTTAGAAACCCCAGTTACAATCTAACCAGTGAGCCCTACTATGAAAAATACACAGCAAGACCTCCTTGAGCTGCCCATCTGTCTGTGAGCTTTCCTTAGCCAGTTCACATTTTCTTTTGGATTTGGGAGTGTAATAGGGACAGCTCAAAGCAGTTGCTAGCAGTGATGATCAGCAGTTTCTGTGGGTAAGTAGATGGAAGCCTGTTAAAACGCAAAGCTGCTATAGTTTCTGGAGATTCAGTAGGCCAGTGAAGTGTTGCAGGGTAACTGCATGGTGTGTCATGAGGAATTGCACTGTGCCTGTTCTTTGTTTTTCTTCTGTATTCTTGGCAGGAAAGCCAGGGCAGATTTCACATAGCGCAGGAGCATGTATGTGCACTGGGCACTTCCTGAGCGAAGGTGCAAGGTGGATGCAGTAACCGCAGACGTGGTCAGATGCAAAGGATGCTCTATTTTATTTTCCTCCCCTCTAATTTTTATTCCCCAGAAGGTGTTACTTAGAGATGTTACCAAAGAATGGACTGTTGTGTAACAATGCTGGCTCACATGCCTGCCCATGCCCCTGCATCTCACTGTCCCACCAGCGAGGCTGCTGGCGATGGTGCTCCAAACTTAGGACTTTCTAATGAGTCTCCCAGATTTTTCTGCTTGCATCACTGTCCTGCCTTCAGCAGTGGGAAAAGGAAACAGCACAGCTTCTGAGTTCCTTTGTGATTAGTGCTGGCTGCCGCTCACTGGGAAGCGTGGTTCATCCAGGCAGCTTGCGCGGCGTGAGCTCCCTCCCGGGGCTGCTCTCATGGTTGTCATTCCTGGCTCCCTTCTCTCACCTTGCCCTAGATATTTTTTATTCCAAGTAACACAATGCTTTTCAGTCACATTTTTAAAGCTCCACATAAGGGAAGAGAGGCAGGAGCTGAGACGTCTCCTTCCAGTAGGCTTGCTTCAAGTTCTGCTGTTTGCCCAAGCCAGCTGCCCTGCTTGTTTAAAAACCAATCCATCCTGTTGGCGACTGGCCCTGTGGTATGCGCCTTTGCTGAAGTAGTTTTCAAAGAAGGGTGAAACACCCTTAAAGGAACTGTTGCATTTAATCTTCAGCAAAGCCAAAAGGCAGATCCTGGGTTCTTTTTGGGTTGCAGATGTATTGCAGAATAGAGACATCAAAAACCTTTTGCAGGAGGGAAGCCCTGACACAGTTGAAATTCTGGTAGCTTGGTAAGATCTTGAGGGGGAAGAAGCATAAGGGCCTCACACGATGCCACTTGGCTCACTGGGCAGCTTTCAGTGTCCCTCCTGGCAGGTCAGGCTGGTCCACTCCAGCTGGGCTGAGTCAATGTGCTGGAAAACTGTACTGCAAGTGAGATTGACTAATTGAATTGTAATCCATATTTTTAGACAAACATTGAGCATTACAGTATTTAATTTACCAGCATCTTTTCAGGACAGATTGCCAGTCATCTTAAATCAATAATATGTCACCAGCGTTTCCCAGGGACCCAGTTTGTGCTGAGTCTTCCCTTTCTAAAGCCTTGTCAATACAGAGAAAGTACTTAAATTGTCTCAGTTCTGTTCCAGAGCAGCACTTTGTCCAGCCCTTTGCTTTTTAATTGGAAAAAACCTGTCTTGCTATTCCAGGATAATATCCACACAGCTGGTAATTAAAGTAATTATCCCAACATGGTTTCTTCTGCTATGGCTGTTCTGGTTTCTGTCACAGGCATGGGAAGATGACCTGAGGAGATGCGCTGAAGTCAATTGACTTTAAAAGGGGGGAAGAGAAAGTCTGTACAAAGTTTTCCTCAGAAAGACGTGTCTGAGAGGAAGAGTGTTCTATTAGTGCAGCATACAGTACTTGTACACACATGCTAATCACACCCAACCGGGAGTAGGTTATGCTGATAGAAACTCTTTATTGCAAAGTGATGTTAAAGTCCCATTAGTTCTACAGCACTGAAATGTGCGGCTTTCATCTCGGAGCAAGATCTGTGCTGTGGCAGAGCTGACAGCCCAACATGATCTGCAGAAATGTTTGGTCTGTGGCACTGGTCAGTCCCACTCTTGCTCACCCATATCAGTGCCCAGGGCAAATACTGGGGGGGGGGGGGGAGGGGGAATATTTCAAATTTATTTCTGAAAAATTTGCATCACATTTGTGGGTCTTTCTTCTTTCCATCTGCTGTTTAATACTAAGATTTCCTTCCTCTGGAGCAGGCACAGGTTGTTACAGAGGGATTGATAGGGTCTTTCTGAGAAGGCAGCTTGTTTTGTAAGGCAATTAAGAGGAGTAATGAGATTGTATCAATGTGCTGAATGGAAAAAGCCTACGCGCGGCCATACGGATTAGGGCAGGCTGGCGAAGCAGCAAATGGGCCTGTGCACTATTGCGCGTGGAGGACCTGAGGAGCACAAGCTAGCAGTGATGTACGGGTTGACACTGTGTATGCCCTGTGCACCCAGGGTCTGTGCTTCCTTCTAGGCGATACAAAGAGATCGGATCAGTGACAGTCCTGGGAAAATCTTAATGAAATTACAGATCCCAAGGAGGAGTGTCTTACTGAGTGTGTACTGCTTTGAAATATACTTGTGCCTAGATCCCAGAGACAGCATGTCCTCTGTGCAGTGCTAATGCCGTGCATATAGCTGGTCCCACTGATTAATGTGAATTCTCAGCACTAGTTTTGCATTAATCCAGAGAGCTGGGGTTTCTACAGCTAAACCTGCTTCAGAGAGCAGCTGATATTTCTGCAGTCACTGCAGACTGATGGCTGATACTCTGTGGTTTCCAGCAAGTGAAGTCCTCTAAAAAATGCATCAGTTGGAGAACCTTGCTGCTGGGAAGGGGCCTTGCTGACCTGCTCAGTGCTGCCAGCTGCTGCGGGGCCTCGTGGCTGTTGCTTTAGATGGAGACTGTTGGGAACAGGGAGAGGGTGCAGTTAATTCCAGTAGCATTTTTGTTTTGTGCAGTATATATTGACAAGAGAAATATGGAAATGAGTTCTACATTTGGGGAGTGAGCTGTGAGTTAGCTGGTAGTTGTGTGAATAGAATAATCCGGGGCGCTACCCCGTGTTTAAGAGGAGCTGCTGTGTCCAGGGGGAGCAGAAGCACGCACCATTACCGCTTGTTTGCTGGGCGTGTGGGGTGCGAATCACAGCGGGTTCGTCCCACGGGTCCCAGGGCCGTTTGCCGCGGCCGGAACGTGCGTTTGGTCTGAATTCACCGGGAGCAGATTTCCCTCCGGACGCCGGCTCCGGGCCGCCGCGGGGTGGGGCTGGCGGCCGCTGGGTTCTGCGTCCGCGTCTGCCCGGGCCGGGGTTGCCGGGCAGGGGAGGGGCGAGGCCTCCCACCCGGCACGGGGCGCCCTTCTCGGGGGCGGGGCCGTGGTGCTCAGCGGAGGGCGCGACTCCTTTTCGGTTGGGGCCGGGCTCAGGTGTGGTGGCGCAGCCATGCGGGCGCGGGGCGGGAGCCATGCACTGGGAGCGTGCGCTGCTGCTCCGCCGCAACAACAAGGTACCGGTACCGTTAGCGGAGCGGGGCGGGGAGACGTCGGGGCTCGGTCAACGTGCGCGGTTCTTGCGGGCTGGAACAGCGCTTAACTTGGGAGGGAACAGCGGGGTTTGTGCCCTGGCAAGTGCCACCTGCCGAGGCCCCTGCTCGCAGGCTCCGGGGGGGCTCTGTCTCTGCTTTAAGCTCTGGCCGTTGCAGACCCTCTGGTTTCACGTTGCTTTCGTGCAGTAGGTAAAGCCCCGGTAATAACCGGGGTTTGCCATACACTGATGTGTGTGGGTTTTGCTCTTCCACAGTTACCTTCTCTGTCTTTACTCACCATCTGACAGAGCTGATGGCCTCGCACCAACGCTTCAGACAACGCAGCCTGCCAAACGTGGGTGCCGTGTCTTTATCTGTGTTGAGTTTTTGGTGGTTTGAGGCCATTAAGCTGCCTTAAGTACAAGAGGTTTTGCTTTTTTTCTCAGCTTTTACTGGATGTCTGTAAAGCACATGAAGCTCGGTTGGTACCATGCCCTGGGCAGCTGAAAAAGGATGCATTTCTGCAGAATTACATCTGCTTGTCAAGTGTGTTAGAACAAAGAAGGAAGGGGTTTATATTAGTGAAGCTGGTGATTAGCACTTACATGTCTCTCTCTCCTCACCTAGATTGAGCGGTTGGACGTGAGCAGCTTAGCACAGACCTCCAGTGCCGTGGCCTCGAGCACTGATGGAAGCATCAACGCAGACTCTGTTGATGGGACCCCAGATCCTCAGCGTACAAAAGTGGCTATTACACACCTGCAGCAGAAGATACTGAAGTTGACCGAGCAGATCAAAATTGAACAAACAGCCCGTGATGACAATGTGGCAGAGTACCTGAAACTGGCCAATAACGCAGACAAGCAGCAAAGCGCCCGCATTAAGCAGGTGTTTGAGAAGAAAAATCAAAAGTCAGCCCAGACTATCTTGCAGCTGCAGAAGAAACTAGAACATTACCATCGAAAGCTGCGAGAGATTGAGCAGAATGGGATCCCTCGGCAGCCGAAGGATGTCTTCAGGGATATGCATCAGGGTTTGAAAGATGTTGGAGCAAAAGTCACTGGCTTCAGCGAGGGAGTAGTAGATAGCGTGAAAGGTGGGCTTTCCAGTTTTTCCCAAGCCACCCATTCAGCAGCAGGAGCTGTGGTTTCCAAACCTCGGGAGATTGCCTCCCTCATAAGGAACAAGTTTGGGAGTGCAGACAACATTGCTAATCTGAAAGACTCCTTAGAAGAAGGCCAGGAAGATGGGACAGGAGGCAAGGCTTTAGGTGTTATTCAGAACTTTCAGTCAAGCCCAAAATATGGCAGTGAGGAGGATTGCTCCAGTGCCACATCGGGTTCCGTGGGAGCCAACAGCACAACAGGGGGCCCTGTGGGAGCTTCTAGCTTCAAAACAAACACTCTGGATATGCAGAGCTCAGGGTTTGATGCAATACTGCATGAGATTCAAGAAATTCGAGAGACACAGGCAAGACTGGAAGAATCATTTGAGGACCTTAAGGTTCGCTATCAGAGGGACTACTCGCTAATAATGCAGACACTGCAGGAGGAGCGGTACAGGTAGGTGTTTTGGTACTGTGTTTTGAATTAAATACTGCAAGTTGCAGGGCACCAGTCCTGGACAGGACTACTCAGTGGGCTGTTCCCAGCAGCCTGATTCAGATGGGAAGCTCTGTGGTCTTAGGATTTTGCTCTTCCAGCTTTGTCTTTTGTAAATATTGTTGTCTTGCTGCTCATCTCCCTTTCTGTGTAAGAAAGAAATAGCGAGGAAGAAAGGTTACTTTATAGTGTTTTCAAGATACAAAGGTAAACAAAAGAGGTTTAGAACAGTGTCCCAAAAGGCCAGGAGTATATTGATGCCGTTACTGTTGTCCAGACAGAGCATTTCCCTGCAAAAACCCTGCAAAGCTTTGGGTCAAGGCGAGAGGCAGGGAACTATGGTGGGCAGTATCCTGACCTGCCTCCTCCAATGCTCAGATCCGTAACTACCAGAGAAAGAAAGATCCAGCTTTCTTAGGGTTCTCAAAAAAAGACATGGTCTTGCCGAAACTAGATTATCCTCTTCCCTCCTGCACTCAGCCCCATAGAGGCAGGGTTCAATGAAATTGAGCAAAATTAAATGCAAATATTGGCAGTGCTCTTGTCCTGGAGGTCACTTGGCTCTGGAAGTGGGTAATCTGTGTTTCTGTCAGCCTTCCCCTTGCTGAAAGGAATGGAAGGGCTGGGGAGTTGCTGCGGTACTGCTGTCCCTGATCAGGTCACAGAGGAGAGGTGAAGGAAGAGTGTGGTGTGGCAGCCAGTTCCTCCTACCACCTCCAGGCTACCCCCACCTTTCTGCCAAGGAAGGCAACCCATGGAGAGGTTCCAGGGAGCACTTTCCCTTTCCCTTCCTTGTTGGGTGGGAGAGAGCTTTCAGCAGGCTGCCCTGTGCTGTACATGTCTTGCATCCTCCCCGTCACACACTGGGAGCAAGGGCTTGTCCCCAGGCTCCAGAGGGAAGAGTTACCCTTCTGTAGCCATTCAGGACACTGCAGTCTAAATCAGTGGGATTCTTAAGCTGCACTTCTTAAACTTCAGACAACTGCAAGGGGCCCAAGTCGTCATTCTGATGGAGGACAGCAGGCTTTTGTAATAGGTTGCTTACGGCCTTTGTCACTTTGGCCAGGCTGTGAAGCACAACCTGTGAGGCCCAGCAAAGCTGCTGGGTGTGGGGACAGGTACTGTGTGCCACTTGCTGCATTGGTTTGCACAGCACGACATGAAGCTGCCCTGCAGCTCTTTAGACAAACTGGTGCCAGATCACTGGAAAAACATTTGGAAAGGCTTAGCCTGATAGGATCTTGTAGAGACAGCAAGCTTTCTGTGTGCTTTGCAAAGCTTGGATAGACAAAGCCAGCCCAACACCACTTCCTAATCCTGCTTTGCAGCAATCAGCGATTTGGCTGAGAGCGGCGCCCAGCACAGCAACTTTGGTTCCTAGTGCTTCATTGTCACCAGGTCACATAACAGTGTTGTGCGGAGTTTGATCTTCTGTTCCCCAGCAGAGGGTCCTGTTGTCTGTTGTGTGTAGGTTGTTGTTTCCCACATACAGCAGCAGGCATTCATGGTGGAACACTATGTGCAAGCACTGTTCAGCTGAAGGAGTGGTCTGAAAGTATAATAGAAGACCTTGGGGACTGATGTATGTTGTCGGCTAAACTGGTTAGTTATTCCCTGGCACCACATAGCAGGGTTCATGTAGGTCCTCATGCTTGTGCAGTATGAAGCCTTATCTGTTGTGTGCTGTTAACCTTTACTGAGGTGAGCCTAGAGCCTAACCACTCACCAAGACAGCTTGGTGTGAAAAGCTTCCAGGAGAATCTGTATTTGGTTTATAAATGTTTAAAAAGATAGTAATTTAGACCTGCCATTCGGAATGTTGCTGTGAATTAATTAAAGGTATGACCTTTAAAGAGGACCAGTTAAGGGCACATGAAGTGCCCTTGTCCCTGCAAACTCAGAGGAGAGCAGGTAACTGCATGATCTGAGGAGCTCATGGGTTAATCACAGTGAGATTAACACCTTATTGTACAAATCTAGATTCTGGTTTGATACCTTCTGTACTTTAAACCATCACTTAAGATTAAAGCCAACATCACCCTGAGACCTGGAAGGTTAGCTGATATGTCTGAGGGCAGAGGGGGATTCTGCCTTGGTGGAGGTGGCTGGCTCCTGTTTCTCTGAGCAGGAACCCCTCTGTTCCCCAGCTCTCTTCAGAAAAAAATGAGAAGATGGGAATGAAGGTTGTGGTTTGGAGCTGAGGATTCAAATTAATCTTAACTGGCTTTAAAAGCCGGTTGTAAATTTGCTCTACTTCTGGGAAGCTTTCAAAAACAAGCACTGAGTTCAGTTAGAGCTTAAAAGAAGTATTTTGGAGAAGCCTTTACTCATAGGGCAACACTGAGTGTGTTGTACCTGGAAGCTGGAGCAAAGCAGGTGCCATGACATTTTCTGACCTGGTCTTTGTCCATTTCCTCTTTCTTAGATGTTTTTTCTTGCAGGTCCTGATCTTTTTTCCTTGTGTGTTTGTGCAATTTCTGTTTATCAGCCATGGCTCACTTTGCACATTTTCCGTGGCCGCCTCAATCTCTTCCCTCTCCCTGCTTCCAGACCTTTCATATCAATCTGCATAGCTGCTGGTTTGTGAGCTGGCTCCAGGCAGGGACTTGCTGGTGCAGTCACTCCAGTTCTGCCGCCCTGGTGCTGCGGTGTGGGGCTGTGCTGCCCTGCCTGCCTGCTGGCAGCATGTGCCAGCCCCGGAGCACTGCAGCCGGGCTGAGTCACAGAGGAAGGAAGATGCTGGCGGTGCCTTGGCCCTCATTGTGTTTCTTGTGCACTGGGAGCAGGCGCTGGGTTGCCTGTTGCTTATCTCATCGGTGGGAAGGTGCCGGTTGTTTACTGATACGAGCAGGGACTTTCTGTGCTGTTGAGACTGAAATAAAGTTCCTGCTGAGTATTTTCATCTTGTGTGTCCCTTCAGGAACCTGTTTGTACGCAGTGAAATCATGAGCTCATGTAGTTGGAACGTGGCCAGCCTGAGGGTTTGGGTTTCTTCCTAAGCCTGGTATCCTTGGAAAGGATATTTAGGTCTCGCATGTTCCTGTCCACAGAAATCCATCAGCCGTAATGCTAGATGCTGGTGCAGTCATTTATCTGATTGTTGCTGAAGTCCAATTGTTGGACTTCAGTCTGTTTTCACGTAAACCAGATCAATCCTCTGAAGTCTAGGGGGGTTGAAGAGGCCATGCTGGAGCGTGGCCGGCAGTGAGGGCAGCGTGTTGGGTCAGGCAGGTGCTTACCCAGCTGTGAGTTTCTTTACTCACCAGAATACGTACTGAGTGCAGATAAAATGTCATTTCCATCTCGTCTGTCTCTTACATATGCTGTATTAGTCATGTATATTACAGCTATTACCTTAAAATGCCATAAAGCCCTTAAAAAAGAATAAACGTGGTGGCCATTACTGTGTTTAGCCTTTCCCAGATAAGTTCCCTGGTCCCAAGCAGTGAGCCTCAGAGAACATGTGGAAGTCTGACATGGCTTTTTTGAATAGAATGTTTCCATATCCCACACTCCAGCCGAGCACCCACCTCTGATGTTCTCCAAGGTACTTGTGACAGTTGGCACTAGGCTTTTACGCAGCAAAGTTTCGGTGCAGGAGCATGTCAATCTAGAGGCTAGTAATACTTGAGGAGAAAAATCACATTTTAGCTAGTGAAAAAATAATTCTTGGACTCCAGTGAGGAATTTACTGGATGTAAAGTGGAATTCATCATTCAAGGCAGTGCAGTATTCACAGACGAGTTAAAGTCTGTTGCATAGACTGGCACTCATGTTAGAGAGGGAAGTGTGAGTATAATCTTAACTCTCTTGACAAGTGGTCTTTTTGTAATACCTCTGAATTAAATGTGAACCATCCTTCAGCAGGAAAACCCTGGCTTTGGGCTCTGTAAGTCACATGAACCCCTCTTAGCTTGTCAAATTTGAGCACCAGTAGAAAACAGCAAGGAAAACTTTTTCTGAATTGCAGATAATGGCACAAGGAGTGAAAAGGAGGTAAATGGAGGAAGAGTAATTTCAAAATCAAGTGTGAGAAGGGGGTGTGCTGTTTTGTTTTCTAAATAACCCAATTCCAGCAGCTCCCTACCACCAGTTTTGAAAGTGGGAGTGGTTCTTGGGTATAAACTGCAGCAGCTCTGGGGTCGAGCAGGGAGGTGAAGTATGGTTCAGGAGCGAGCTTGTAGTCCTGCAGACAGGGCAGGAGCCAGGCCTCTTGCAGATAACACTGTACTTAAACTCTTGCCTATACAGATTTGCAGGGTTTCCTTATGTTTCCTGTAGATTGAGGTAGTTTTGAAGTTGTGAAAATACAATTGTTTCTTGCTAGAGAACAGGATTTAAGCTGCCTGGAAACAGCTGCTTTCTGAAGGAAGGAGGTTAAAAGGCATAATCATGATATTTTCAGAAATGCTGAAGTCCCTTTTTGTGTAATAAACCCCCTTGAGATTTTTGTAATCTATTAACAAAGTGAATATATTTCAAATAATTGATGCTGCTTTTTGATGGATTTACTTGTGGTTTCCTCTTGGTGGTTGGCAAGCTGGTTTGTTTTAAGTTGGGTGGGAACAAATGGCAGTATTCATTACCTCCTTCTTTAGCCAGTCTTTCCATGGCTATTCCCTTGTTTGCAGCTTGTTGTTCCTGAGTGGTCAGTTCTCTCGTGTGTCCTCTCATTGCACAGTTCTTGTGGCACCTCCTGGCCTGAGCTGGGTTAGCTGGCAGTTGTCTCAGCCTCACTGCTAGTTGACCGCGTGTTTCATTGCTGGAAATGGTCATACTATGCCTGACTCCTCCTTAGTTTGAAGCAATATTGCATTGGGAGTGGAAATGGAAGGTCTCTTCAGGCTTTTCAATTAAAAACAAAACCCAAGACTGCTTTTAAAGGCAAGCTTTTGCCTACACAACCTGAATATTTAGCTTGTGGAGCACCAAAAAAAACTATGAAAAAAAAAAACCAAAACCCGGAAGCAGGATTTTTGTCTTGGTTTTAGAACTTGTAATTAAATTCATCATTCTAGATAAATATTGTTGATTCATTTCATATGCGTGTATATGAATTAAATTCAGATGGAGTCAGAGGGAAACTGAAATTAAAATGAGGAATTATCTCTTTGTTGAATTCCTTAGAAATTTCTCAGCTATTAGTATCAAGGGTCAGATGATAAGAGCTGTATGGTAAGCCTTTTCCATGCTGTTACAACAAAGAGTGGGAAAACCCCACGGCCACAGTAGCTGTACCCATTCCTTAGTTACTAGCACTTGTAATGAAGCAGGAGTGAGAAGCAGGCGGGAAGAATGGTGGAAGGGGTGATGTGGATGGTGCCCTGCTCACTGCTCCCAGCCTCTGGCTGCAGCCTCACTCTGTGTGTGTGTTACCTTTTGGAAGTAATAGCAATAATTGCCTGATTCTGAACGGGTATTGAAGCAGAAGTTACTTGTAAATATGGACTTTGAATTTAAAAAATGAAGCACTAACATACAAATGCCAAAGTATCCCTAACATACTTTGAAGGTGCTAAAACAACAGGATGGAGGTATCATTGAAGTCATTTTAGAACTCCCTCAATGAGGAGCAACATGGTATCTCTCAGAATTGTTGTAACTCAGGTACTGAGTTACAACTGAGTTACAAACTCCTGGAACTCAGAACTGCTCCCAGGCCACTCATAGAACCAAACTGAAGAATAAGCCTGCAGGTTAATGATTCATGTGCCCTCCTTGTGACCAATGTGATGGTCTTTGATAGCTGAGCTGCATCATTTGTGGGAGATAAAAAATAAGTCAGATATCCATGTGACCTCACATGCAGAGATCAGTCAGGGCTGTCGTGTTCTCTGAGGCATCATCACATTTCCTGTCTGTGTCATTTCTGTGCCTGCACTGTTCAAGTGTAGATGGAAATGCTTAAGAGCTTATGGTATTAGAAGGGAACTGTTGGCTTTACTCTGAAGTTTGGGGAATAACTTGCTCTATTCTAATTCTGTCCTTGATTTCTTGCATCACTTGACAGTTGGTATTTAACTGCTGTGTTTTCCCCCAGGACAAACACTGCCTTACCTGGTAGAAAGGATTTCCTTAATTCCCAGTGAGAGGGCCTTACACTGTAATGCACATGTGTGTAATGACTGAGATGCCACAAAGTTGGCAGTAAAAAGTCGATGATGATCATTGTTTGATTGTTACTGGTATAACTTTGTCATCCTCCTGTCATTAAAGCTACTGTATTGTGTGTCATTTCTAGATGTGAAAGACTGGAAGAGCAGCTAAATGACCTGACTGAGCTCCATCAGAATGAGATCCTCAATTTAAAACAGGAGCTGGCCAGCATGGAGGAGAAAATTGCCTATCAGTCTTATGAGCGAGCCCGGGACATCCAGGTGGGTGACAGAAGCAAGGAGACTCAAGTCCTGCCTTCAGCCTGCTCTTTCTGTAGCTCATTCACTTTTGAAAGACTTCTGTGGTTCAATATTTGGTTTTAATCCTCGTAGCTTTATTGCTAAACTCCATATGGAGAGTTCTGTAAGGGCCTTTATTCAATCTCTGACCCTCTGGTATCTCTCCAAGGAACTTCTCCTGTGATGGCTGTGCCGGTGCAGCAGCAGCAGGCTCACCTGCAGGGGAGCCTTCCCCTCCCTCCAGAGCAGTGGTTTTAATTCAGGTGTAGCAAAGGGGAAGCCTGCAGCCGTGTTTTGCACAGATTTTGGAGGGCAGTGTTTGAAAGCGATGGGACGTGACCTAAGCACCTTTTTTACAGTAGTGTTTCCACTAAGCAGACCCTATGGTGTGTTCCTGTGTCACTAATTTTACAGCAGTGGTCACATATAGCTAAGGGAAAATGGTTTTGGATATCCACTGCATTGAGTCAGAAAACAATTATTTCTGCTGGTTTTGCCCAAACAAGGAGGTGTTTTTAAAAGAGAAATTTCTTTCCTGCTCCACAGGACCAAAGCTTATGGAAACAGAGGTAATGAAGTTGTAGGGTTTTCCACAGGGCAAAAGACGTGGGAAATAATCTGGGCAGATGCCAAATCTAAAAAACAAAGGCCTGTTCAGAAATGGGTCTATCATCCATTTTAAGTGCTTGTTGTGCTAGTTTTAGCAGGCATCTCTGTTCTGATCGCTGATGAGAGATATTTATAAGTGTGAGCAGAGCACTGTGGGCCAGAGTTCTTCCTCTTTCCAACCCCTCGAGGTGCTGCAGCCAGGTGATTTCCTCTGCAGAGCAGGCTGTGCTTTTGGCACACTTGTAGATCCAGCTGCAAGTCCAGTCGGGTCCATGTCCTTCCAGGCTGCCCGTGGTGAGAACAGGCTGAGCAGTTTTGCCCTGTGCTTTCATGGGCTGTTACTGAAGAGAAGCCCTCATGGTTCATTGACCTCCACTGACATGATGCAATGACAGAGAAATGTAACAGGTGACAATGACCTTTAAGATGAGGTTAAAGTAAATCAATGTCTGTGGACATTGTGCCGTGGCCTCTGATAGAGTAAACAGGAGCCTTTCCCTTGGGGGAATGTTACAATACTCAAGTTTTGTTCTCCTCTCCAATTTAACACAGAAGGAAGAAGAAAGGTTCAAAACTTAAACTGAGGTGGGGATTTCTCAATAGTTGTTTTAGTCTTCACTAAAAGCGCTGAATCGTAAAGCAGGAACTTGCAAATGGGGTCAGACTATTCCTCAGCATTGCTGGGGAAAAGGTTGAGTTTTCTTGCATGAAAAACTAGTTAAGAGCATGGGCTGATGCTGCAGAGGACCAGAGTCCTGGTTCCTTTTGCAGTGATTAGTCTGAGAGAGACTGCTACTTGCTGCAGATTTCTAGATGTTACCTGATGGTGGCCTTTATGTCTGAGAAAGGTAACACTGAGGGAGCGTTAACAGAAAAGTTGTAACTTGGTATCTCCAAGAGCAGAAATGTCTCATTGCATTAATTGCCTTAAAACCTCTCTTCTCCCTAGCCCACCCACTGCATGTCATCAGTGTTGTACTGTGGATTGTGTTGGTCCTCTTGAGGTTCAACATGGTGAAATGTCCATAAACAATCACCCCAAGTCAAAAGTTTAGAGATGTTTTGTCCAGGATAGTCTCTTCCTTCCACATAGTTTCGGTTTGCCTCTTCCTAGAGGCAGTTTCCTAAATCTCATGCCTCGTACCCATCTCCTAGACAGCTTCCTTCTCCAGCCCTTGCAGTGTCACCCAGAGCTATGGCAATGCCACACCATGCTGCTGTGCAGCCCCAGCCTTAGTACTTCTCAAACCTTTCTCTGAGCTCGTGCTCACTAAGCAAGCAGAATGTGGCCAAGCCTTTTTGGTTAGTTGTTTCTGTTGACTTAGTTTTCTGCCAGGTTGACTAGAGAATTGAATGGGCTTACAGAAGGGTTGGATAAACACAAGCAAGGAAGGTGATGAAAATGGGAGGGTCTGGGAACGTGCATCCCAGAAGAGGAGGAAGAGTGCTTGCCAGACACAGCACCTTTGTCCCCTCAGTGGTCCCTTGAAACCAAAGCAGAAGTGAGCAGCCCACCAGGTAACACCCCCCTTTCTGACAAAAGCTGATTGCTGAGGGCTGTCAGCATCCTGTTCTCTCTGGCTCCCATGGTAAGGCAGGAAGGATGGTAAAGTCTCAGGTGACCACTGCACCACACATGCAGGGACAGGCAGCCAGCTGACAGTGCAAAGTGGCAGCTGAAGCTTTTAAGGAAGCCTGACTTGTACCCAGCCTGTCACCTTTGTCAAGCCTCTCTGGTGTAAATGAGATGGTGCATTGCAGACTGCAGCACCTAGTTGAGGGGCTCCTCACCCTCCTTGGCACAGCTTCCTGCCCTCCTGCTGCAGGATATGAAATCAGTGCAGTGACTCATGTCCTGCTTAAGGAGGGTGGCCCTGGTCTGGCCTTGTTGGTGAGGTCACAGCCATGGGCTGGCACTGTGGAGCACTGGCAACCCAGCTGTGTGTTCTTGCTGGCAGGAGGCACTGGAAGCGTGCCAGACCCGTATCTCCAAGATGGAGCTGCAGCAGCAGCAGCAGCAAGTGGTGCAGCTAGAGGGGCTGGAGAACGCCACGGCCAGGAATCTGCTGGGGAAGTTCATCAACATCCTCCTGGCCGTCATGGCCGTCCTCCTCGTCTTCGTCTCCACTGTGGCCAACTGCGTCGTGCCCCTCATGAAGACTCGCAATAGGACGTTCAGCACTTTATTTATAGTGGTTTTCATTGCCTTTTTGTGGAAGCACTGGGACGCCATCACCGGCTACTTGGAACGGTTCTTCTCTCCCCCCAGATGATGGCGGCAGGAATCGGCTGCGTCGCGTCCCCGGCGCTCTTGGTGAGCTCATGTGGCAAAGATTAGTCAGCAGCTACTGCGCTGAAGTTTTAAAGTGTCCGAGTGAATTTGTTTACATTTAGAATAACGTTTTTTCTCTGCAAGACGCATTGCAATAGTATTTTTTAGATTTTACTCAAGAACTTTTTGGCGAGAATCCTGGATAATTTTTATGTAGCATGGTTCTCTTTGGATGCAAATCTTAAGATTCTTTAAAGTGTACAAAAGAAATAAATAAAATACAGAAATTTGGAGCATACCAATGGGCAATTTAAATTGTGGCTTGAACTACTGTACTAAACCTGTCAGGAAGAAGAGAACGTGGTTAGCTTAAGATGCGCAAAGCTAAATCTAGTGCACAGCCTTGAATGATGGTACCACAGCAAACCTGTAACACTAAACCTTTACTGTGAAGTCTGCTCACATTCCATGTCCAAATGTATGCGTTCAGAGTGGTTTCTTTCCTTAACAAGAGAAAAACAACGACCTGTGGATCTCCTTCCCAGCTCAGCATCTGGGTTCGCCATTTGTGCTAACCTGACTTACAATAACTGTCTGTAAGGCTGCCTAACTTGGCTAAGCAAATGAAGTGGAAGCCTCATGCCATACACAGTAACTGCACAGTCGTGCTACAGTATTTTGAAGTAGTCCTTGAAATACTTACCTTTAAGCAGAAGCCCTTGGTCGCACTTTTAAGGTTTTTTTTATATGTGTATAGTCACAGATTAAAAAAAAAATCCAAACAGCATACTTGAAGAGTGTAATACTCCAACTCTCAGTGCTTCCTTATTGTTTCTAATAGGAGTTTTTATTATAATTATTATTATTATTATTATTATTGGGGTTTGTTTGTTTTGGTTTTGCGGGGGGGTTTTGTTGTTTTTGTTTTTTTTTAAGGGGTTGGGGGGGTCATTACTTTTTTTTTTCCTTTTTTTTTCCTTTTAAATAAAGAAGTGATGTTTTTAAATGAAGAAATGCGTGAACAATTGTGAGCCGTCTTGTCCTGAAACAGTTTTGAGGATGGCAGAGGGTAGTTTCTAGTGCCAGCCTAGCAGGAGTGCAGCGCTGTTCCTATGCCATTTATCTGCCTCCTGAGTGTACAGATGCAGCATCATGAGTAACATGTCTCCACCCATTGTTGTCATGCAGGGCTTTTTTCCCTCTTCCCTTTTCCAGATGTGAAGGAGAGTGTGTTTATATTTATCATTTGCTTGTCATCAGTCAATCCTGGCCTCAGGATAAGAATAAGGAATTTTTGTTCATTCCTTCCTGGGGAAAAGACAGGTTCTTTTAAGGAAAGAAATACTAAATCAGCAGCCCACTTAAAAGAATGGTTGTCTCAGAATTATCTTATTTAATTTTTAAATAACCCACTAAAAAGTGAAACCAAAGTTTTCCTCCTGTCAGGCTCTGGTAAGATTATTTGTGTGTCTGTGTCAAGGTCTTTGTACACTGTATTTATGTGGTGTGCCATAGAGAGCATCCTCTTTCTCAGCCACGGGGGCAGGTACTGGGTGTAGATACCTTTCCAAGGCTCTAAAGGAAATGTCAGCTTAACTGTAACTGTCACATCCTAGCAGGTCACCACCACGTGCTGGTGGTGGTGATCTGCTGGTACTGCCAGCCACACTTCGTGTGCGGGGAAGCTGCGTTCACTCTGTGCTGGTTTTTTAACTGGTGTCCCTTTCACCAAGCCAAGGTTCAACTTGTCCCCATGGAATCCAAAAAGAGTCCAGGATTCTCTTTCAAAGTTAGATCTTATCTTTAAATTAGGACTTACTTTTCCTTCCTTCCAGGCTTAAGTTCTTTTTAGGAACCAAATGTTGCCCAAGTGACCTAAACCAGTTAAAGTCATACCTATACATACATGGAACATGCACATCACATGTAGGCACACAGAAGCCTGGGGTTTTGTGCTGTGATGCAAATTCTGGGTTCTGAGAAATTCCCTCAGAGTAGGTAAACAACTTTGAGGGTCTCTGATTGCGAGCAGGGATAAGCCCTCCACCATCCCACCATCCTTCTCCCTTCAGAGATGCTGTGTGTTGTCTATAATCACAGGAAACTCAGGTACCTCCTCCCCAGGGACCCCAGCACCCACCTGTCACTATGTGCACTGTCTGCTCCTGTCCTACTTAAAACACAAATTGCCAGTTGCAACTGACTCAAGCCAAAAATAATCAGCTTTCTACAGAGTTGTAGATAGAGCAAAGATTGCATAAATATTCCCTCCCTCAGCCATGCCTCTAGCTCCAGGGAGATTCTGTTCTGTTTAGTACCCTTCTTGGGCTGATTCAAGGGATACAGGTAGCTATCATTTTCCTGTTATGTAGTTTTTATCAGAAACAAAGGTGTGAATAACTCTGAGAACTGGTTTGGCACATGACTTCGTTGCCTTTATTTCTGAAACCCTGCCTTTGCACCCATTTTTCTCAGATTTGATCACTCTAGAATTGCTCAAGCAGGAAGGAGTTGAGAGCCAATGGATCTGGACACACAGTGCCACTCGTCTGTAGTATTTGAAGGAAGTGTTTGTCCCTCCTTTTGTTTATATCCTAATTTAATTTAGTGTCTGAACTCTGTGTAGTCTTCAGTAAATACCACTTGCTACTCTGCCAGAAGGCGCAGGCTTAATAGAAACATATCACCTCAAAACTGTTTGGTGAAGGCCATGTACATATGGTTCTGGACAATGTCTGTCTGTCTGTCTGTCCCTTTCTCTCTCGACAGTTTCTTCCATTCCAGAAAGTTGTCTGCAGTAATGCCATTATGATGCTGCATCCACTTCTCATATCCCAACACAACTGCCATGTGTTTCACCTTTTGCATTAGCAGAATGTTTTGGGGTTTTTCTCCCTCTTCAATTTGAAGGTCTGTGATGATTTCTGATAGCTTAACAATGGTCATATTGTTGGAAATGTGATTCTAGCTTTAAAGCTCCCTTTCTTTGTAAGTGGTTGTGTTTGCTTTCTTGATGAAGCGTTTCTGGATGATGTGTAGAAGACAGTTCCGCTACGGGTGGGTGAGTGTGCGTGTGAGTACCTTTCATTAGCCTTCCTTATGGATGTAAACTTTTTAGTGACCATCTCTGAGTTGCAGAATGTTTCCCAAGACATTTTGTATTCAGAGTTGAAACTGTTCTGAAGTTGCTTAGATATGTTTAGCACATAACAACTTGGCTTATAAAAAGGGAAGAAGAAAAGAGCTCAAAAAGCAGCAGCTTTTCATCAAAATTGGGGTTCAAATGAATTTCATCCGTTTCTGTCAATGTAAAGAACAAAGAAAATCTTGATGCAAAAAAAATTTACCATTTTAAATTTTACCAAGTTTTCTCTCAGGTTCATTAGTTTAGTTTAATGTTACTCAGCATGCTCACAGCAAGTACTGAATTGGGCTGTTCCAATCCCGTGAGTGCAGATTCCATGTTGACTTCTGTACGTGTTGCACTGGGACAGAAAAACCCTGTCTCTCAGCTTTGAAAATAGGGGGGGTTTATTATTATTACTATTAAAAAAGAAGCAGCATTATAGCAGAAGAAGCCAAGCTACAAAGGGGTTCAAGATTGGATCATCTTGCCAGTTTTTAAGTGAATTCTGAATATGGCTAAAGAGTTAAACCTCCTGTGTGTCTGTGTTGTGTATGCCAGGTGGTATAGTAGTAGGCAATTGACTTAGCTGTAAGTGTGGTTTAAAAGTGTAAAAAAAATAAACAGAAAACTCACTTGCACGGGTTGAAAAGTACAGAAATGACACTTGTGAACGTAACACTGTAGTTATAGATCTTAAGCTGCTAATTGTTGAGAGAGATTTACATTTGTCTTGTCTGATTGTCACAGATTTATCTGTGACACTTTTACTGTATATAAAAAACTTTAAATAAAGACCTCAGCTATTAATACTTGCCAGTCTGGATGTTTCCAAAGGGATGGGGAGGAGAAAGGGTGGTCAAGAAGGAAGTGGGGGGTGTCAAAGCTGTGCTGAGCCCTCAAAGCTTAAAATCTGAGCAAATTCTCCATAGATCCTGTCATCCAACTCCATCCTATAATCAGCCATGCACCACCATTGGCTGCGTTGTTTGATCTCTGCGGGCAGAGGAGGAGGAAGAGCAGCACTCTGTTCTTCCTCATTGTTTCCTTCCAGTCCACCTGGAGCCTGGGAGCTTCTCCACAAGGTCACCACCATTCCCATCCCCACAGATGCCAAGTTGGCAACAACTTTGTTAAGGGGAAATGGACCACATCATTTTCTGTTTGCACAAAAAGGTGGAAGTGCTGTAAACCCAGCAAGAGCTCAAAAAGCCAAAGCAGCTGCTTGCAGCAGCAGATCCCAGTGTCTCCCCACAACCAGAATGCTAATTCCAGCAGACTGTGAATGAGGCAAGTGCATGGTGCTGCTTTTGCTAGAGCTGCCTGGCTCTAGACAGGACATGGTGCTGGGTGTGAAGTGTGATGCTTCTGCATGCTTTTTGGGTAATCACCTGGTCGGTGCTGGTTTGACTTGGTGTGGTTGTTGAACGTGGCTCAGGATCAACAGGACGTGATGACTGAGGGTGAAAGCAGTGGCCACCTCCCACGCCAGCATTCTAATCCCGTAATTCAGAGGATTAGGAGTCCTTACTCAGTTCTTTAGTTATCCTGTGGGAAGTGGTGTGATAGCTCCACCCAGGCCTGGGGGGGCAAACAGGAATGTGGCAAGGGTACAGCTAGGCTGGGCTGACATGGTGGAGATGAAGAACTGGGTGATCTTTCTCACTGGAGCAGTTGTTCTGATGGGTCAGATCAGAACACATTGATGTGTTGGTGGTGGAAACGGGCAACCAGACAGCTCCCTACGACACTTCTGTCTTCAAGCTGGTTTTTAGCAAGCGCCAAATCCACTGTCTCCTGTAAAAGACAGTGCTGGTTGGTGGTTTGTTGGCCTCAGTGGAGCCTCCCCCTGTGACTGAAGTCAGCAGAAACGGGAAGTGAGTTCTCTGCTGCCTGAGTTAGCATGAAAGCAAAATATCCCAGGGCAAACCAGCTCTGCTGGGTTGTTCATTCCCTACCCAGATGCCCCTGGAGTTAAGAGCCACCAAGGCATGGCCTTTGTTCCAGCCTTGTGCTGGTCCTTTCCCGAAGGGACACAACAGGGAATGCTGATGAAACAGAGAAAATACTGCCTGAAGAGAGCAGTCAGAGCAGGGTGGGAAGCTGTGGTGCTTCCAGCCTACCTCCCCAGTGCAGGTTTGCCTGTAGCCCTTCCTGTGCGCGGCTGACACCCA